GGTCCCGACCCTACCGCAAGTCCAAGTCTTAGCGCCCGCACTATCCCCGGCTCATCCGGATGTAATAGATTGGACAACGCGTGTCACTCAAACGCAAGCTGCTCAGGCCTTGACGCAGAACCGACCGTCGCGCACCTTACACCCGAATCCTAACAACCGTCCGAAAGGGCGCCTAATCAATTCCAAAGAATTCCAAGCACGACAAGCCGCAGGAGTCTGTTTCACCTATGGAAACGCAGGGCATCGCTCCTTCTAATGCTACTATATACCTCCCCCTCGACGAACCCAGACGAGCGGAGTTTTCACGAATTGTTACGGCACGTTAGCTGGATGCACACAACATGTGATGGATCAGAGGTCCGCAGACCTGGATGCCTTGTGGCCTTGTGGCCCGTTTGCTGTGCAGCATCAGGACATAACGCCTCGCACACTTTAGATAGATTCCTCCTTCATAGCAACAATTCAATGTTTGCCTCACGATTAGAGATTCCCGACAGTGAGACTCTTACACCAGCTTACCAAATCCTTCGTGGTTTGGGCCCATGACATTTTGAGATACTTACCGTTCGAGGGAACTCAATTGCAGGCTGGCTAATCGAGGCGTCGCGAGGCGTCGCGAGGGATGACTAAGCGCCTCGCCTCGCCTCGCCTCGATTGCATACTAAACCGCCTCGCGACGCCTGCTGGAACCATGGTTGAGCGTACCAAAGATGAAATTCCGTAATCCTGTATGCCATACAGAGGTCGATATCACGGTGAGGAGGATGGTAAAGACGGTGGTGGTGAAGATCGCATACTATATTCTCCTAGCTAGACTCCTCCTCCTCGTCGTCGTCATTATCCACCGCTAGATTCGCTTGTGAGAAGACGATCTTCTCGAGATCAAGATCACTAATAATACCATTTCTAAACCAATGCTGTAGACACACCAACTTCCTCAACGTCTTCGCGTTCATACGGGCTCTCTCTGTGTCCAGGAGTCGCCCACAGGAGGACCATATCCGCTCCATATCCGCGGCGGATGCTGGAGTGGCAAAAAGGTCCATAGCGATCCTATAGAGAGCTGGAAATCGCGTACGATTAGCAATCCACCATTCCATAGGGGCCTTCATCTTCTCCTGAGGCTCGTTGAGATATTCAGAAACCTCATCCACGGAGGAGATTTCCTGTGGTTCAAATCCAGGCCCCCAAGAACCTAAGAAGTCCTGGTAGGCGCTCCGCACGGTATGATCCGTTGACGAAGAGCTCTCTGGGACGGATATATCTTGCCGTAACGTGGCGACAGACTCACGTAATTTAGTAATGACTTGAGCCGTGCTAGGGTTTTTCGGTTCCTTGAGATCGAAGAACCTTTTCTTATATCGTGGATGAAGCAATACCGCGAGCATATACGCAGGAGTCTGCGGGTCCCTCATTTTAAGTTGGTATTTCATCGCCTTAGAGAGGGCTCTCTGTAGAGGCGATGCGAGCTCCTGGAGAACCGGTCGCCTCGGTATCTCCGCGATCAAAGAGACTAAATCTTTCACGATCAAGTGGATAACGAGGTAAGATTCGAAAAGAGCTCCTTCAGCACCATCCTCAGCGTTACTTTCTAGGATTTTGGAGCGAATAAGGAAGGGGTGGTAAATCGCTTGGAGCTCTTCTAGAACAGCCCAATCAGCCCCTGTAAGCCCCTGGAGAGAGGCGTGTCTTGCGCAGTACTGATCAATTGTAGCGCGTAAACGGAGAGCACGACTAATCGAGTCGTATCTTGTATTCCACCGTGTCTGGTTTTCACGGATAATACGGAGAGGCTGATCGCGACGTCGCTGAGATTGATCGACCATACCCTCTAAAATAGTGGTTTGGATCGTCAAGAACTCTTGCTCACGTTTCGAGCTACTTTTGATATGGGTAATGATAGACTTGAGGCGTTCAACGGAGACCACATCGACATTCGTTGGAAGCGTAGGACTTCGAAGATTCTGTCCTGGATGGCCAGGAATGCCACTGTCCTGCGTACATTGAAGGCCATCTGACTCGTCGTTGTCCGTGCCAGCCAAATGGTCGGTAGATAGCTGTTTGCATATCAAATTAACGATATGACAGGCGCATCGTAACCGTTTTCCAGAGACCGGGATATTAGTAATATTTCCAAGCTCTTCTACCGCCGTGGTGTTATTATCTGCGTTATCAGACATCAAGTAAGCGATCCTTTCCTTGATCTTATACGCCTGTACGGTGTTTTTCATGATCCGTGATAGATTTCGCCCTGTATGAGCTCCTTGAACCTCTTCCACAGTGAGGAGGGTATTCCGTTGGCGTGGTGTTTCACCGCCGGAGATGAAATGGGCCTCGATACCAAAGAAGGGTATATCGGTCGCAGACGTCCAGATGTCATACGACAACGATATCTTGCTGGATGCACGCGAAAGTGTATGGGACACAAGAACAAGGCATTCTTCGTATACCTTGGCCACCCTATTGTATACGGATTGGTGATTCTTTACTCTGAGCTGTGGATCTCCACCGCTCAAAGATTCCATCAATCCGTTGTGTGCCACAGAAGAGGCCTGGCGAAATGGTATACCGTCGAGGATCACCCATTTTAAATACGCCGCATTGACATTCAAGAGCCCATTCCGGAGAGGCAGAGAATGGTGATGGAGAGCCCACGATTCACGAGATCCAGGAGGGATTACCTGTGATCCACGGCTCAAGAAAGAGTGATCTCTTATAAGATGGTCTCGTGCAGACGACGTCGCGCCGACCCTATAGAGCTTTAAATCGAGGTTGGATCGAGCCCTTCGCCAACAGATATAGCAGACCCAATATGGAATATCTTCCTCCTCGTCTACTCTGCGAGCGACGAATCCCCAGTCCCATACAACGCTTCGCTTTCGCGGGCTAGATAAGCGATGATACTCTTTCACGAGGGAGAGACCGTATTCACGGAGAAACTCTGGATCAGGCGTGAAATCTCCTATTCCGCCGGGGTCAGGAGCATACTCAGAAAAAGAGGAGGAAAACGATGGTAGAGACGACTGTAAAGACGACATATTGATATCGATTCTATACGTTGAGAGTAATCTTGATATTATACATATATTGACTTTGGATTTGACCAAAACCTCCTCAATATTCATGACTCCAGCTGGAATGTTTAATGAGCTCACCAAATCCCATAGAATCTGGGTCACATCCAGAAGATACGGACTGAGATGATGAAAGATTGGTAGAATAGGACCAAATGGGTCTAGCGAGACCTTTCCAACCCGCTTATTAATTATCCGAAGATATACCGACTGCCTCGCGACGGGTTGATCGAGGAACGAGGCGAGGCGAGGCGAGGGCCTCGCGACGCCTCGCCTCGATTAGCCAGCCTGCTCAATTGTCACACGGAGGTCACCTGACTTCAGTGTGTGTTGGGTCACGTGGTTTGTGTTTGCTCGGAGATGTCTATCTCTACTATATCTCTTCACGCTGAATTTTAGATACATCCAATACATCGCTCTTCTCTCTCATACGTAATCTTTGCTCGATTGGAGTATTCTCCACATCAATAGTGTCACGGTCGTCCTTTTCGTGCTTTGAGGCGTTAATGTATTGTTGCCTTATGGCCTGATATTGATGCCTCAGCCTCACGATACGATGTGATGTGATGCCCCCGATGTGTTAGGGGCTATCACGTGGTGATTCACAATCCCGCTTTGTGTATATTATATCTCTCTCTGTTCTGGTTTCCCATTCTCCTTCTTCATCTTTCGTTTCGTCAAATACAAGCTGTTTTACGATAGTGATCCATATCCATGGTCCTCCAAAATAGCACCGTGACAATTTGTATGTGTTGGGGGTGCCAAGACCAATTTCTTGGTCCTGCTTTTTTTGTCGACCGCTTGGGGGGCGGGTGTAGTTGAGCTTTTGGGGCGACCCCGGTCGCTAATTTTGGTGGGGTTTAGTGCCTTGTAGGGGCCAAATCCGCTCTTTTAACCTACACGCCCACCAAAATGCTTCAGATGATCCTCTGACGGCAACTGAACGTGCCTGCACCGCCACAAGCATCTTGCAGTGTTATGGGCATGGCCCATGGTTGGCATAGGCTGAGAGCCTAAGCCTAATCAAGCCTAGTAGCGTCGAGATGGCACCTCATCAAGATTCCTCTGTCACAGGTACCTTTACTCTTTATCTCAATCTAGAATATCTTTGGTTATGTGTATGTTGTGTGCATCCAGCTACCGTGCCGTAACACGCAGATCCCGTCTGAGTCCCAACTGAGATGATGCCAGGGCAGAGCTCCAGTCAGGTGGATCCCTGCGCCAGCTTCCCCGCACATGGGAGGTCCGACATCATGCGCTCCATTCCGTCACTCAACCTCGTTGAGCCGTATAGTTTTTCTTAACATAAGTCCTCCATCTGAAGATCGCTTATAGATCAAGATATATTGAAGCTTCCGTTGTGAGGCTCGTTGAGTCAATCGATTTCCGTCTGTCTCCTCCGAGCTCGGTCTCGTGCCCGCTGTGTCCTTTCAATCCTGTCCCTACGTCGATACCCGTCCGCCTGGTCATCTATTGCTGGCCTGGTCTAGTATCTGGCATCGTACATTGTTCGCTTCGAGAGCTCTTGGTTGACTCTTTCTCATGTTGGGATCGGCCATCGTTGCGGCAGTGCTCTCGGATGGTAGCTTCTTGACATTCTCCTCGACCACTTGCGGGAAGCGGGACTCCACGGTCGGACTGATCGTTAAGTCGTACTGAAGTTGTTCCCCAACCTCGGCCTCTAGTACATATTGAATTTAGCCGATGGTCTTTGCAGAGTCCAACTTGCTAAGACGACAGCACTAGGAGCCTCTGCACATATAACGTCAGGCTGGTGTATCCTTCTTGAAATCGTTGTCCTACCTAACCGTACATCATTTGCCCTTTTTGTATTCTAGTTCACTTATCTTGAGTCTGGATCTTCCAGATATCCCTCCCGCTTTCTCAAAATTGAGACAGTGGTGACTCAGAAGAGCAGGTGTCAATATGGCTACTACCACTTCTAATAAAACAGCCTTTACAGCTTTGGCTGCTCGTGCAGCCATCGCCTTCCTTGTTGCCCCCCTTGGTATCTGCAGTGCAGAGCCAACCCAGGGTGACGAGCTTACAGTCAGGGGCTTGGCCGGAAGCGGCGATCAAGGTGAGTGATAGCCATGGCTGTTTTACATACCCGTTGATGCCCTGCGTTCAATGTAAGATTTGTTTGGATTGCTATTTCTGTCATATGCCCTTCGCTCATTCGAAATGCCAATATTTGGTGACATGGTTGATACACCACGTTGCTCTTAAATACATTGAGTGTTCCCTCTTCCTCTGTTGACCTTCGCCTCCTACTTGTATCCTTCACGGCCCTTCGACCCAGCAGATTCAATCCGCGAACACACGCGCAGTATCTACTCTTGTCTCCGATTTCACCGCTAAACGTGGTCCCTAATAGCGCCTCTGCTCGGATCGTTGCCAACGACTGCCGGCTACGTTGCCAAAGATGGAGAGACTGGACGTCTACCCGCTCTTGGCTGGAATTCATGGAACGCCTTCTTCTGCGACATCAACGAGGAGAAGTTCATGGTAGCAGCAAATCAGATCGTCAAACTTGGGTTAAAGGTATGGTTTCTTTTCTTCCGAGGCATTTTTTTTCTGTGTCATAGATGTCTCCGCTCCCAGGCCATGCTCATCACTTCACCAGGATGCTGGCTACACCTATGTGAACATCGACGACTGCTGGTCAATCGGGGGAGACCATCGTGACCCGGCAACACAACGTATGGTCCCAGATCCGTTTCGATTCCCGAGCGGCATCGCTAGTACCGCCAAAAAGGTCCATGACCTGGGCCTGAAAATTGGTATTTATAGCAGTGCCGGTACCCGCACGTGTGCTGGTTACCCAGCGAGTCTTGGCTACGAGAAGGTTGATGCGGAATCTTTCGCGGATTGGGGAATCGATTGTAAGTCCCAAGGCCCGGGTCCGACCTTTCCCCGATAGTAACCGGAATCTAGATTTGAAGTATGACAACTGTAACGTACCCTCAGACTGGGCGGATGAATGCAGCTTTTGCATTCCCGATTCTGGCCATTGGCCGCATGGACCGTATCCGAACGGTACCTGTAAGTACCCGCTTCCTGTCCCTGCCCCTCCTAGTTATACTCCTCGAGGCCATCGTCATTATCTCCGTAACGACTAATCCCAGACACCAGGCCCTACCCTCCCCAACCAGTGTCCGCCTGACTACGATTGGAAAAAATCCAAAACCGCCGAACGCTACCGTTGTATGCGCGATGCCCTCGACGCCACCAATCGTACCATTCTATACAGTCTTTGCGAATGGGGAACCGCGGGCGTGCAAAAGTGGGGTAACGAAACTTCGATGAGCTGGCGTGCCACTGGCGATATCACATGTAAGCAAACAATTTGCCAATCGTCTTAGCTCTTAGATTATCCTAACAGATAGCGTAGGGCCCGGACTTGAGGCGAAATGGGAGCGGATCGCTGAACTTCTTAACATCTGTTCCTTCAACCTCGATAATACCGATTTCTGGGGCCACTCGGACGCAGACATGCTGGAGGTCGGCAACGGAGGTCTCACCCCAGCGGAGGCGCGCTCGCACTTCGCCCTGTGGGCCGCGATGAAGTCACCCTTGCTCATCGGCACGCAGCTGGACAAGATCCCCGCCGATGATCTCGCAATACTTAAGAACAGGTACCTTCTCGCTTTCAACCAGGACCCGATCATCGGGAAGCCCGCCACCCCCTACAAATGGGGGACCAACCCCGACCACACGTTCAACGCGACGTACCCGGCCGAGTACTGGTCCGGCCAGTCCAAGGACGGGATGCTGGTGCTGATGGGGAACTGGGGCGCAAACCCGGCGAAACGGACCGCTGTGTGGGGCGAGGTCCCGGGCCTGGATAAGGATGCAAGCTACAGAGCGGTCGATGTGTGGACCGGGAAGAGCCTTGGCTGTCACACGGGGGAATACAGCGTCGACGTGAAACGACACGATACGGCGGTGATTTTTATTACTGGGAAATGTGCACAGCGGGTGGGACAGCATCTGAGTGGGAAAAACTAGGCGGCGTAACGCTCCTAGCGATGGCCTCGCACTCGCGTACTGAATGATGGTATCCTTTCGAGTCAATATAGCGCTTCCTCGTCGAACGGACATGACATGTTCAGGACGGAACACCCATTAGTAGCATTTCATAGACATGTGTCCTCTCTCTGTGTTCACACCCAAGATTTCAATTTGTAGCGTCATGAGCCTAGTCAACTCACTCTATAGACAGTCACCCTTCGCAGATACTCATCACCGCATCTCGCTCGGTCGAGGCATAGCGGGCCTCGCTCCAGATCTCATATCGTTAATACTATCCCTCTCCGACATCTGTGCTAGACAAACTGGTAGATCATCAGGTCAAAGCGACAAGCACACAGGGAAAAAGCCTCAAAGTTCGGGTTAGAAAACACCCCGAAGGCTAGGACTTCCGCGACCTGGCCACTGGCCGTGATCCATATCCTAGGGTTGCTACGTTGAAGGCTATCGGTTACAGATGGGTGGATCTCGGCCACTTAATTCGTGCGATCGTTTTTTTTTTTGCAGGGAATTTGGGAACCTTCTCCGTCCGGCGGATTTCGACGGTCTATGCTCAAAGTGGAAGACACTGCCCCAACACAAATATTATCTCGCTGCCAGTGTTTATGATGTTAGGAACATCATGACTGATTTTGGCAACCAGTGGAACAATCCTCCGGAGCCGGTTCACGGTTTGGTATGGCGGTCCCTCAAAGGTCGTCGCTTCTTGTCAGCGCCACAGTCACGCTAGAAGCTTTGGCAAAAGGTTGAAACACCGTACGACGCTGCATCATGATCCGGTGCAGGTGTTCTATCCTCGAAGTTGGCGCCAATACCTCCGTCTTGGCGGCATCGGGGATCTGGAAGGTAGCGCAGCTGCCGTGTTCGGACACAACCTCTCGTGGCCGTATCGCTAGAAAAATGATGGAAGCGAGAATATCGAGACACTTAGCGGGTCATGGGTGTCCAGTGATGACGATGGCATCGCTGGTGAGCCTCCGGAGCTGGCCTCCAAATCTTCCAAGCGGCTCGGCAATGGTTCGGGTTCTAGTCTACAATCTCTGGGCCGAACAGGCAGTAGAGTGACACCACAGACGTCTCTATGCGCAGAATCGAACAGCAGAGGCTCAGCTAAGAGGTCAATATCAATGTCTGAAAGCTCAACCTCGAATGATGCTCGATATGTTCAGGGCCGAAGGCCGAAGAGAAACAGGAGCAGTGGCGGCAGTAAACAGAGAAATAGACAGCATTACTGAAAGAAGCAGTTCTTAGAGGTATTTGGTATTATGGTTTGAGAGGTCAGGGAGCCGAAATTCAAGGAGATTTAACTCAAATTGATGTATATTGATAAGACCAGCGAGCATTGACTATTCCGTGATGTTCCACAAGTATTGTGATGGCCTGAAAACCAATGGCATAACAAGTCTTTTGTGATGCCTCTGTAAATATAATTCGAGCATTTTATTTAGAGAGATTCGGACACTGTAAACTCTACCTTCGTTCCTCCAGGCTCTATTTGAGCGACGGCTGGTGAGATTTCTCCCTTGCATGAGATTTCTCCCTCACACTAGTAATGGTGGAAATTAATTGCTCAACTGGGCCTAGCGTACAATTTCCCATCTTCCTCTGCGAACGAACTTCAATACTTCAATGTATTCCTTATTAGGCCTAGGCTGGTGAGATTTTCCCCCCTTCAGAAGTACCAAAACCGCCGCTTTGGAAATTTACAAGGCAATATAGCCACACTTTCAACATTATTTTTAAATTCAAAACTTAGATAGAGTTCTTTAGGACTCCCTCTTGCTCCTAGACTCCGAAATTTAATCCTAATAAGTTGTGGTGTTACGTGATTTAGGATTAAAGTTATGGCAGTTTTTTCATACAACTCACCAAATTCAGCACAAAATTAAACCACAACGCAGGGGGTATTTAGAGATCTAAAATAGTAGGCTCAGTTACCCAGGCTTTAGTATTTTTCTTAGCATTTAAAAATTATATTATTTCGAAGCTGGTGTTGAGCTGTTTGGCGTTGAAGTTGAAAGCCGGTGATTTTGGTACTTCTGAGGGGGGAAAATCTCAAAAACGGGGGCGAAAATCTCACCAGCCTTAGGCCTATCTTCTTTCTACTAACGTCGCTGTCTCTTGCGCGGGCTAAGTCCTTTCCAAGCATTTGAAGCCGTCTCTGCTGTAGCACGCTTAGGACGCTGTCTATGTGAGATAAATAGCGGTTTCGCTCAATCCGGTTGTGATGGATCAGAGGTCCGCAGACCTGGATGCCTTGTGGCCTTGTGGCCCGTTTGCTGTGCAGCATCAGGACATAACGCCTCGCATTATCTCAGTTGGGACTCAGCCGGCAATGGTGCCCCCTAGCCAATATGGGGTTCCGCTATACCTAATAAAGCCCAGCCTCTTCTTTAGCATGCGCCACTAAATATTGACCAATCATATGCCATAAAGGCAGTTGGCACAACTGCCGTCTGAGAGACTCCTGCAGAGTTTGTATGTATGCGTAGAGGATCATATCATGATATAGGTGAGAGAACTCCCATCGCTAAGCGTACTTGATACTAAAGGGCTATCGCTAATCTATTATCAGAAATTATTCTACGCGTTGACTTCTACATTTCATCAAGTTTGAGGACCAATCCAACCACTCTACTGTCTAGGAGCGCGTCATATTACCTTTTGCCATGTCAACCGCGCCCTTCCTCTCAAACGAGATATCTTCTATACCGCCAGATGAGATGTATTTATCATCATCGCCCTCTATCTCGTCCACATCTTCAGATTCGACTCCCCGACCAAAACGTCCTTCCCCAAGACGATCCAAATCCCCTACTAGATATCGGCAGATTCGGCGTGTTGCAGGAAGAAAAAGGCTTCAGCCATTTGACAAATTACGCGAAACATTATACCTATGGCGAGAGCAACAGTTCACATTTAAAAAATTTCTCCGCGCCTGGTTACTATCGGATAACCACCATGGTGCCTTGGGGAGGGCTACAAGGGTTGGATTATTCCGGGAACTCTTAGAAGAGGAGGAAATCCGTGAGGTTGTTGGCCATCACCCCTCAAGCCGCCGTAATTGGCAACCTCTCCTCAAAGAACTTGATGGCTT